GGGGGGGGGGGGAGGCGGAGTATACCTCCCCAGTACATTAAGTACCAGTCCTGCGCTCAGCCTGAATTCTCACTCAGCAAGAGTAATACAATTGCAATTATAGAACTGATTGTTTTGTTCCTTTCTGAGATCAACCTTTCTTCAGAAATTGAGACTGTAATTCATTCTAAGTCTTACAGAGTATTTAAATAGGGAATAACCAACAATTTGAGGGACATCAAGAAAACTGACACAAACATACATCCAGGAATCTTTTATTGGTCACTTGTATGCCAGGTACCAGCATCAGAAAGAAAAAAAGGTGTTTCCACCTCAAAGAGCCCCTTGTCTCTTCATTTGCCTCTTCCTGTAGTGTTTCTCTCCTGAAAAAGAAGTGTACACCAGTATGTTAATAATGCCCCAATTAATCAATGCCACCCAGGTTTTCCTAAGGGCTGGTCTCAGTCCCATATCCGCATTTATCATCCATAGATGTCCACTCAGATTAGGTTTCATCCTGGACCAGTCATAGCCTGAAAAAATACCTTGAGCTGGAATAGAACCACTCTCCCAGGAGAGGGGTGGGTAAGACTCCAAGGTTACCAAAACCAATGAGCATGAGCTCAAGCCATTACTGCATTCACAGTAGTCAGCCCTTGCTGTAAAGACACAGGGCTGTCCCTTCTGCCACATTCTACTCTGCAAGTGTGTTCTTGGCATTTAGCATAGGCAAATCCAGCAGACCAAGTCACACTTGTAAACATTTATTTTTTGTCCTACGGTTATGAAGAGCCAACAAATACAGCACACAAGGCCAGATGTAAATGATATATTACAAAGAAGACTTTTACACACAGACCTGAGTAGCCTTATTATCTACTGGCTACACTGCTTAGGGTGATAACAGTGAAATACTAATGGAAACTGCAAGGAAGTTGTGTGAAAGCTTCTGGCAGACATTCAACTCACCCAACTCTGTAGATCCACAATCACAGAAGAAGACAGCTTTACTGGTAACACATCTTAGGAGGGAAAAAAAAGAACACTTGATCAGGAGTCAAGAAAGCTATGGATAAATCCCTCCCAAATACAGAAATATTAGTCAGCAATCACTATATACCAACTGCCCAGTTTCACATACAGCCTCCCTTTAAGCCTAAGATTATCCCATTTTACAGGGGAGGAGGCAACAAGTTCCAAGAGAATTCAACCTTGTTTGAAACTAGCCCACATGCTATATAAGCAGACACCGTGAGCATAGCTTCAGTACTACTATTCCTCCTCTTACGACCACCAAGACCAAGGTTCAGATCTGATGGGAAAGGGAACCGGAGGGTCAGGCTGTCTTCAACATCCAACTTTACCTTATTCTAAACCATGGCTCCAGCAACAAGCTGGTATTTTCAGATACTTCAGTATCAGGCACTGCCAGTAAAACCTGGGGGCAACCTGCAGAAAAAAAGTGTGGAAGCTCTAAACCAAAAAGTTGATCCATACACAGAAGCTGACTTTTCTGATGGAAACACATGGACTCAGGTGGAAGGCTTCCAGCCCAGGTCCTGAGGTACTATAGGAAAGGCGAGTGGCAGCTGCAGGTATTATGCTGACCTGTGCTGTCAAAGTCTCTCCAAGTTGCTCTTGCATGCAGTTGGAGATCCCATGGCCACAACAAGCCATAGCACTTGGGAACATGCTGTACTGAGCCACTAGGTAGCTCCCAAATTACGTCCCTACAGAAAACCCACCAGGTCCTGAGGCTGCTGTGTTCCATCACTGTCATGACCCCAGTCTTCACTCACCAGTCATCCTGGAACCTTCAATCTGGCACAGCTAAAAGGAGAACACAATTGTCCTGAATGATCTTAATTGTTCCCTTCATTTGGTCTTCAGAACTACGGGTTTTTTTGTGTTTTTTTTTTTTTTGCGGTACGCGGGCCTCTCACTGCTGTGGCCTCTCCTGTCGCGGAGCACAGGCTCCGAACGCGCAGGCTCAGCGGCCATGGCTCACGGGCCCATCTGCTCCGCGGCATGTGGGATCCTCGCGGACCGGGTCACGAACCCGTGTCCTCCGCATCAGCAGGCGGACTCTCAACCACTGCGCCACCAGGAAAGCCCAGAACTACGGTTTTTGACTAGCCTTTGATCCTAAGTACTGATGCCATAAGCTTTTCAGGGCAATGACCCAAAGCACGACCAAGATCTGCACCACCTGCCACGGGATTTTCCCAGTACAGATTATCTAACCCACCCCCATCTACCCCTCCACGCTGATTCTTGGCCTCTGCAAGCTACTTCTCAAAAGCCTTATTCTGTTAACATCTGTTGACACTGATGACCCCATCAGTGGAACATTTCTGCTGGCCTCTGGAAATGTGTCAACTCTAATAAAGGTCTCTGGCTATACCTGAGAAATGGCAGGTACAATGGGAGCTGTCTTTTCCTGAAATGTTGCAGATCAGTTACAGCAAACAGAACAGCGACCGTCAAGGAAAACTGTCACTCTGGGCTCCTTTTTGACCACAGCAGCTATGTGGAAGCAGCTGCAGCTTCGATAAGGGCCACAGGGTAATCCAGGCCACAGGGCAGGCCCAACACTGTGTAGCCCTCAGACTCACCTAAATCCTGTGCATCAGGACTTATCACCAATTCATCTACTGGGACACTCTGGAGACTAAAAAAAGAGAACAAACATCCTACAGGTCCCAATCACCACTTTGTTTTACTATGTGCCAGTGTTTTGTCTCGTTTATCTTCACTGGACCATTTTATCATCCCCATTTTTAATAAGACTTAGACTAAGTTACTTGCCGAAAGTTGTCTATCAATGGAAAAAGTGACAAACCTAGGATTCAAAATAGTATCTGAATGACTAAAGACAGAAAACCTTGTCCTTATACCCACCATGGTGACTTCCTTAACATGTGCTGTGCAGCCAGATAATTTAGATGAAGGCACGGAAGTCACCTGCCGAAGATCACCAAGCAGCTAGCTGTCACAGGCAGATTCAAGGTCTGGCTGACCCCATCACGTGGTCTCCCCCCAAATTAAGCCACTTCAGTCCCAGAACTGCCGTGCACCCGGCGGCCTGCCCTCGTTACTCACCCGTCACACCGGAGCACAAGGCCCTGCGGGCAGAGGCGGGAGCAGGGCGCGGCCCTCACAGGTTCCGGCTCCTTTCACTGCGCATGCGGCCAACGTGGTCTTCCGGACCTTGATCCGACCAGGTCGGCAGGCCAGGGTCCTCCGTGCTGCGCTCAACATCCCGCAACCTCGGGAAGCAGCTCCGGCGAGTGTGGCGGCGGTGGCGCAGAGGCTAAGGCCGGGTACGGCGGAGGATGGGCGTGGACCTTAGCAGAGAACCCGAAGAGCCAAGAGATCAAGGACGCGGTAACCGGAAAAAAAGAAAGCTGCGCGCCGAGAAGGGGTTTATATAGGTCCCGCCCTTCGCGGCAGTGCCTGACAGTTGGAGCTGCGCGCCGCGCAGACTGCTGGGAATTGTAGTTCTTTCGCCACCAGCGCGGGCCGCGTGTCTGGCTCCCAGCCCCAAGCGCGTGCGGGGCGAGACCCTTTTCACCCAGATGGAGAAACCTTGTGGTTTCTTCCGGACCGGAAGAGGTTCCTCCGCCTTCCTTCAGCCTTCAGTGAATGTCCAATACCGGGCACTGGGCTCACAGATACCACTGTGCCATCTGGAGTTCAGTCCGGGGAAGACTTTCGACACCGGAAAGTTAACCGTTAACCCTGTGAGCTGAGAAAGGGCTGCGTTCAGACCGCCGTGGGCACGTGGAGGAGCAGCGACTGAGTGATTTCGGGAAGGAGCTCTGTGAGGTCTTCTCGGAGAGGGATCTTGGGGAGGGCTTCCTTCCCAAAAGTAAGAGGCGACTGATTACAGTACTCGTGAGATGAATGCATTATTTGTTCAAGCCTCATCTGTAACGCTGATAGATAAAAAATTTTATTGAGTGCTTGCTAAGTACACTGTGCTCCATTATCTCAGCTAGTTTTCATTAACCCTGTGTGTGGGTATTATAATTATGCCTTTTTCACACATAAGGAAACTGAGGAATGGATCACACAGCTAGCATGCGAGGTAAGGACTGGAATGCGGAAGTCCACCTCAAACAGCACACTCATAATCACTGTGCCATGTGCACGTTTTGTCCATAGAATGAATAAGCGTCAATATAAAAGCAAGTAGTAATTGTCAAGAGTTAAGCACCTATTCTGTGCGTAATCTGTTCATCAGTTTTCATCCTTACATACACTTTAAAAAGTTTTTATCCTTACTTACACTTTAAGAAGTGTTACTATTATTCCCATTTTGTGGAGAAGGCGACAGACTGTATGAGGGTTAA